TACTTTAAGAAAATTCTGCTGAATAGACAAAGAAATTTATACTTCTTGAAGGTGGGTTTTTTAAATTATGGCAAGGGCAGATGGAGGAGGGGGTTTGGGATAGTTTGGACCTCTGCCTAGAATTAAACAGTCGCTAATTTTCTTTTGCTCTCTCCTGTTTCTAAGTAAATTGCTATACACGCTTATTTTATTATCATTATTTCTATCTGACATGCTGTGCAAGAACATCATGATTTAAAATATCTTAATAACAACCCAAAGAAAGAGACTAAAAGTAATGTTCAGAGAAAAAACAGATGGCCACCAAGTGCAAATTCTGAGTTCTTATATTTTTGTATGGGGAGTAGATATGGTTGGTAAAAGGTTATGCTAATAAGCAAAATGTTCTTGTATTGTTATGAGCTTATTATTTAAAATCATTTCTGAGATCTGTAAAGTTGTTTAAATAGTAACCAAAGTAGAGTCTGGCAAAATAAACTTCAAATCTTCTTAAGAAGATGATCTGATTTAAGCAGATTGTTGGGACTCAATTAAAACCTCATTAATAGATGAAACAAGGTCCATTCAATTAAAGCCTGGTTATTCACTCATATTTGAAAATAACAAGTGCTTGTATAAATCTGGATTCCACACTGAAGCTATTTTTAAATCCCAATAAACTTCCTGAGGAAAAGCTTAGTAAATAGGGCCAGGAAACTTGAATCCAGGATCCAGACTCTTGAGTCCTCTCTTGGTTGCCTTTGAGCCCTGTCTTGCTGTATCCCAGGGCAGCCCCTCCTCCCCTACCCCTTTCAATGGCTGGCTGGAGTCTTGACTTCATGCAGGTTCATGTCCTAGTTCAAGAGTCCCACTGTCCTTTTTTTCACCCTTTTCTGGACGACAACTGTTTCCTTCCGTTTTGGCTTTGGAAATAGTGATTTTGGATTTTAAAAAAAAAGTCATCTGCAAAACCCTCTATACAATTCTACAAAAAGGATTCATTCTTATTCCTGGTCTGGCCTTGGTGTTATCCTCCTAATCCAGCTGTAGTGATGTATTGTACTGGCTGCCTGCCACATGCAGAATTCTACCTCAGGACATCCTGCCCGAGGCAAAAGGCCAGTCTGCCTGTTTGTCAGCAGCTGGTTTGACCAGCCTATCCCCTAAGGACGACAACAACAGTATGTGTGTAGTTGTTCAGAAACTCACATACACTCCATGTATACTTGTGTGTGTGTGTACGTACATACACATGCATGCATACATAACGGCCATATATGCTGTGTTTTCACATATACATACATATACATGTACTTCAAGTCCAGATGTGCATTTCATCTTCTATTTCTCGTCTAATATGAAGTTCATATGCCTCCAAACCTACCCTTTGTCCCTCTTAGTCTAAAACGATGTTTCTTATCCTTCAGTGTACACTCGGAGCACAACTCTATCCTATATAGTGTTGACATGCTTTCACTTTGGGAATCTTTAAAGTACTAACACACCTTCTGACTTGCAACTGGCAAGTGTAATGTTAAACATTATGTTTTGTATTTCTGGGTTACCCATTCACACATCATTTTATTTTTATAGCAAGGAAAGGAAATACCAATCCAAATAGATATCAATATAAAGCTTAAATTTCCAGACCTGAAGGTTTAACATGGATTTCCCTCTACTCTATAAATCACTCTCCTAGATACTACTAAATCTAGCTAAGCAAGCTCTACCAATATTTTGTCTGACAACACAGATGCAGCTTAGAAACAAGTGAAGGAAAAAAGAGGTTACAAGTCCTGGAGATTCTTGAACATTTCTATAAATCTCCTATGCAATTAGAGAACACATATTTGGATGATTTTAACAGACTTAAAAGAGAATTGTAATGAAGCCAGGATTTCTTCTAGAAGGATTTTGTTCAAAAAGGGTCTGGGATAACTGTGAACTAAGATAGCAATATGTTTTTAAAACAGGAAGCAAAAGTTAGGGATAGAAGAAAGAAAAAATACATAATATATATCTTTCTTGGAAAACAAGATTATTTAGATGTATAAATATACACTTATTGTTTTGTTAAAATTTTTACTTTCATTTTAGTTTCCAAGGATTGATAAACAAAAGAAACAGCTTGTTACACGTAAATAAGGGAAAGCTCTATACAGTCAGAAAAATAAGACCAGGAGCTGACTGTGGCTCATATCATGAATTCCTTATTGTCAAATTCAGACATAAATTGAACTAAGTAGGTAAAACCACTAGACCAGTCAGTCAGTCAGTTGAGTCGCTCAGTTGTGTCTGACTCTTTGCGACCCCATGAACTGCAGCATGCCAGGCCTCCCTGTCCATCACCAACTCCCGGAGTCCACCTAAACCCATGTCCATTGACTCAGTGATGCCCTCCAACAACTCATCCTCTGTCACCCCCTTCTCCTCCTGCCCTCAATCTTTCCTAGCATCGGGGTCTTTTCAAATGAGTCAGCTCTTCGCATCAGGTGGCCAAAGTACTGCAGTTTCAGCTTCAACATCAGTCCTTCCAATGAACACCCAGGACTGATCTCATTTAGGATGGACAGGTTGGATCTTCTTGCAGTCCAAGGGACTCTCAGGAGGTTTCTCCAACACCACAGTCAAAAGCATCAATTCTTCAGTGCTCAGCTTTCTTTATAGTCCAACTCTCACATCAATACATGACTACTGGAAAAACCATAGCCTTAACTAGATGGACCTTTGCAGACAAAGTAATGTCTTGGCTTTTTAATATGCGATCTAGGTTGGTCATAACTTTTCTTCCAAGGAGTAAGTGTCTTTTAATTTCATGGCAAAAAATAAATAAATAATTTCATGGCTGCAGTCACCATCTGCAGTGATTTTGGAGCCTGAAAAAATAAAGTCAGCCACTGTTTCCACTGTTTCCCCATCTATTTGCCATGAAGTGATAGGACCAGATGCCATGATCTTAGTTTTCTGGCTGTTGAGTTTAAGCCAACTTCTTCACTCTCCTCTTCCACTCTCATCAAGAGGCTCTTTAGCTCTTCTTCACTTTCTGCCATAAGGATGGTGTCATCAGCATATCTGAGGTTATTGATATTTCTCCCGGCAATCTTGATTCCAGCTTGTTCTTCCTCCAGCCCAGTTTTTCTCATGATGTACACTGCATATAAGTTAAATAAGCAGGGTGACATATACAGCCTTGATGGACTCCTTTTCCTATTTGGAAACCAGTCTGTTCTTTGATGTCCAGTTCTAACTGTTGCTTCCTGACCTGCATATAGGTTTCTCAAGAGGCAGGTCAGGTGGTCTGATGTTCCCATCTCTTTCAGAATTTTCCACAGTTTATTGTGATCCACACAGTCAAAGGCTTT